AAACAAATGTAAACACAACCAATCAACTAAAAGTGTTTGGAGTCCAGTCAAACTCATACACATCATTTAATTAAATAAGTCAAGGGTATTTACATTTTTACAGAATCACCTTTAAAAGCTCAGTGGTTAAGGGCACTTGCTGTTCTTGTAAAGGACCTGGGTTTGGTCTCCAGCACCCATAGAACAGCTTGCAACTGTTAATACACTCCCATTGCAGAGAATCTGAGACCCTCTTCTGCCCTTCACCAGCAATATATGCACATGGTAAAAGACATGCATGCAGACAAAACAACCACACACATAAAACAAAACTAAAAGCAGAAAAATGCACAGGTTGCACAGGCTTTACTAATAATCATGTTCCTGATTCTGAAGCAGAACATCCGACCAGAAAATCCAGAATTGCTTAATTTTAAATACATCCTCATTATAGCCTAACACCCTACTTAAAGACACCCACTTTAAAAGGCCTTTCTGGGACTGTAGTGCCTCAACATAATTTACAAGTTTATGTTTCATTTGTCCTGTATATACCGCCTTTGTACATACATGGGACTTTTTAAAATCCCATTTAGGTAACATTTTCCAAAGGCCAGAACTTCTACTCCTTAGTCTACTCCTTAGTCATCTGCCTCTAAAGAGAACAGGGTGTGCTAGATAATTTCATGTCAACTTGACACAAGCTAAAGTCATCTGAGAGGAAGGAGCTACAATTGAGAAAATGCCTTCAGAAGATGCGGCTGTAGGCATGCCTGTAGGGAATTTTCTTAACTAGTGACTGACAGAGGAGGGCCCAGCCCACTGTAGGTGGTACCATCCCTGGGCTGGTGGTCCTGGGTTCTTTAAGAAAGCAGGCTGAGCAAGCCAAAAGGAAGCAGCACCCCTCCACGGTCTCTGCATCAGCTCCTGCCTCCAGGTTCCTACCTTGAGTTCCTGTCCCGACTTCCTTCAGTGATGAACAACAATGTAAAAGTGTGAGTCCAATAGACCCTTTCCTCCCCAACTTGCTTTTTGGTCATGGTGTTTCATCACAGCAATAGTAACCCTGACTAAGACAGGGTGAAAGGCAAAAGCTTTACAAAAAAACAGATGAGGGCTGGAAAGATGGCTCCGTGGTTAAGAGCACTGGCTGGTCTCCCAGAGGTCCTGAGTTCAATTCCCAGCAACCACATGATGGCTCTCAACCATCTTTTACTGAGATCTGGAGCCCTCTTCTAGCCCACATGCACATAGAATGCTGTATACATAATAAATTAACAAATAATCTTTAAAAAGAAATGAGTTACTGCCACTTCCAAACTAGAAGTTCAGATGATTTAGAAGACGACGACGATGACGAAGAAGACGACGAAGAAGAAGACGAAGCAGCAGCAGCGGCTTAAAATACTTAAATACTTATTTGGAATATTGCTTGAGAATTTGATAAGGTAAAGCAGATAACATGAGATTCACAACACAAAGACACTTGATAGAGAATACTACCAATAAGAACAATCTAGCTAGGGCAGGCTAGATGGCTCAGTAAGTAAAGGTGCTCGCTGCTAAGCCTGAAGACCCAAGTTTGATCCCCAGGATCTGACTCCTACAAGTTTTCCTCTGCCACAAACATGCTGTGCCAAGCATACACCAAAATCAACACACAATAAAATATAATAAAAAATTATAGGTAATCTAAGGCTACTTCTTTGAAAAGGATAAGCATGTCTTGCTAATAAAGTTATCCAAATAGAAAGATTTTGTTATCAGTAGTACTGGCGCTTTCCATTCTTCATGGACAAATGTGAAGACCTCTGCGGCCATCTCCCCTCCTCAGAAGTCAAGTCACAACTACAATGGACCACAGTAGTACACCAGTCAGACTACGCACATTCACAGCACTAACTGTGATAAGGTAAATTACAGTGTCACATGAAACCACTGGCCTTTTCCAAATTCCAACCAATTACATTCATGCCAATGAGCATAGCATTGTCCTGAGACGCAGATGCTACACTTCAGCAAAGGCTGATAAGTGAAGGCTAAGAAATAAGATGGAATTTTTCTGTTTCCAAGACAGAGTTTCTTTGTGTAGCCTTGGCTGTCCTAGCTCTATAGAGCAAGCTAGCCTAGCTGGCCTTGAACTATATCTGATTGCCTTGGCTGCTGAATACTAGGACCAAAGGTGTGCACCACCACTGCCTAATAATAAAATGAAATTTTAAAGTTCTTTATCTCCTTCCCTTTTAGCGGTACTGAAATTGGAACCCAGGGCCTCCCGTATTGTAAGCTACCTAGCCAGCCCCAATGCTCATTTTATTCACATCCTTTGCTGATCAACTATGAAGCTGCAGAGTGTACTTTTGACCACAGGGTTATAAATGGGGGATTTCCACGATTTTTCCCTTCCTTGGATTCATAAATTTCTGGGAGAAAAATCACAGAACTGAAAAATAGTTACTATTACTAGTTTGTTATAGAGGATACAATTCAGGATCAACCAATGGTCAGAATATGGAGAAGAGACCCAGATTCCCATGCTTTTTCTGGGATGGACCACCCTTCTGGCTCCTTGATGGACAGACTCATTGCACAGGCATAATGGGGTAAGCCAATGGCTGCTGCAGTAATTAACTCAACCCAGTTCCTCACTGTTCTAGTTTGCTTCTCTATTGCTACAATGAAACACACAGAAAGCAAGCCAGGGAGACAAGGCTTGCTCCATTTCACTTATTTGTCCTGGTCCACCATGAGCAGCCAGGGCAGGAACCTGGAGCAGAAACTAAAGCAGTGAGTACAATGCCTAAGACACTAACAAATTCAGAAGATAACATTATTTGCTGGAGAGGGGGGACTTCAATAGTTTTAAATCGGAGAAGGATTGCTCACATTTCTTTTGTTTGCTTGTTTTGAGACAAGGTACCTCTATGCAGCCTTGGCTGGCCTTAAATTCTCAAAGATCATCTGTCTCTGCCTTTCCAGTGCTGGGACTACAGGTGTGCACCACCGGGCTCCTCTACCCTTTTTTAGACATCCCAGGTCCAACTGACTAGAAATGATGTCACCCACAGTGGGCTAGGCCCCCATACATCAATTAACAATGAGGAAAATGCTCCATAGTCATGCCACAAGTCAATTTGGCAGAGGCAATCACTCAACAGAGGTTTCCTCTTCCCCGGTGACTCTAAGCTTATATCAAGTTTACAGCTGAACCTAACTATGACACCTTCTGACCCTCCCCTGGAAGGCAAACTTAAATGTCTACCACCTAGTCATGCTTAGATTCTCTGGTAACACCATCTATTCTGAATTCTCTAGGGACCAAAACCACTACTCACCTCATTAACACACACAGAGTCTCAGCTCTCTAGAAATCCCATACCTTTTAGGATCTATGTGCCCTGAAACTGCAGGCAAGAGCCAAATACATTTTTCTTTTTAATCACAACTTTGTACAAAGCTCCCCTTGAACTAACAAGCCAATAAAATAGGCATTAAAGAAATTCCCCCTTTCCAGTTTGGCCCCAGCAGGATGGCTCCCTCGAAGAAGGGTGGCGAGAAGAAGGGCCTTTCTGCCATCAACGAGGTGGGGACCCGGGAATACATCATCAATATCCACAAGCGCATCCATGGCATGGGCTTCAAGAAGCGTGCTCCTCGAGCACTCAAAGAAATTGGGAAATTTGCCATGAAGGAGATTGGAGGGCCCCAGACGTGCACGTCGATACCAGGCTCAATAAAGCCATCTGAGCCAAAGGAATAAGGAATGTTCCATACCGTATCCGTGTGTGTTTGCCCAGAAAACGTAATGAGGATGAAGACTCACCAAACAAGCTGTATACATTGGTAACCTACATGCCTGTTACCGCATTCAAAAATCTACAGTCAATGTGGATGAGAACTAACCTGCTGAATGTCAAATAAAGTTGGAGAACTGCCAAAACAAAAAACAAAAACACACACAAAAAAAAATTCCCAAGCAAAACCTACATCATCTTTCAGAATAATATTCTACACTATGAAAAATATCCACCAGAAGAGGCGATACTAAGTTAAGATCATTACAGGGTGGTGAAAACTCACATGTATAACTCAAGTATTTGTGGGGTGGCTAACATTTCCACAGAGCCTCAAATGTCTACCACTAGGGACCTAGTGAGTACAATGCCTAAGACACTAACAAATTCAGAAGATAACATTATTTGCTGGAGAGGGGGACTTCAATAGTTTCAAATCATAGGTCAAATAGAGTTATCAAAAAAGACTTTACTAAAAAGCCCTAACTGTAACTGGTTATGACCTTAATGGATGGCAGAAGGTAGTCCTTTATACTCTAATGTGCATGCAGAGTAGTAGAATATTGTTCAGTAGAGTTTCTCAAACCCCTAAGCAACACTGAATTCTGAGAGGAAGAATATTCTTTCCTAAGGCAAGTAGATTTCCAGAAGGAAACTGTTACAGCAGAAGGCACCTTCTGCTCGAACACTGACTCAAATGACACACTCTCACATATTACAGTGTCTCCCAGGCCTGGAGAGATGGCTCAAGTGATCGAGAGCACTGGCTGCTCTTCCAGAGGACCCAGGTTCAACTCCCAGCATCCACATGGCAGCTCACAACTGTCTATAACTCCAGTTTCAGGGGACCCAAAACTTCTCATGGCAAAACACTAATGCACGTAAAATTAAAAACAGTAATAAAAAAAGAAAGCATCTCCCCACATCACCACATAAACACCACAACAAGAGGTACACACTACTTCCCAATGTCTCAAGCACTGTAGGAAGGTTCAAAGAACACTGGTTAGTACTTTACTGAATGGAAGGAGAAACCTGGTAATTTCAGTTACCACCAATGCCCTTCTTATAAAACTAATCCTAGCTTGCTGAATTCTAAACAGCACGCGCATTCACACAGCTTGTTTTAAATTCATTCACCCCATCAGATGAAAAGAAACAGAAGATATAATCCTCTATTCAATCCCCATTTAAACACTTAAAATATGCAAAGAAAAGTCATCTTACCGTTCTAGAATCTGAGAAAGGGTTATATTCATCAAGTCCTGGTGGCACATTTCTTGTCACCTGTGTAACAGAGGGGTCCTGGAATAAAATTTGAAGAAGAAAATATGAGCTATTTACTAAGACAGTTTTGATATTTACAAGGTATTTGCTTTATCTGAACTTTTGGTCACTCAGCAAACCAGAGAAAACTTAAAGCCGCAGCCCTCACACCCTCAGAGAACAAATGAAACTTGGGTTAGACATAAGACAGCTGCCAGTCTGTCTCTAATGACTGAAGCAGGTCCTTCCTACTGCTGTGTGGGCCTGGCTGCCTAAGATGCTCAGACTGAACCACCATCTTTAAGACCCCTCAACATTTTATGATACAGGGTCTCTCTCTCAATAGCCCAGGCTGGCTTTGAACTCTTGATGGCACTACTGACTCAGCCTCCTGAATGTTGGCCATTATATTCATAAGTCACCATACCGGGCTTCATGGTCTCATTTTCATTTTTGTAATGTTTTATTATTCTGAGAATTTCATACATGAGTAATTATGTTCATCACTCCCACCCCCTTCCTCCAAAGTTTCCCATATTCTGTCTCCCAAACGCATGGTCTCTTCTTTATTGTCACACATGTGTGTGTGCATGTGTACATATATACATATACAAGTATGTGTGTGTATAAATACACACACATACATACATATATACATACATACATATCTCCTACTGAGTTCATGTATTCATATATCCAGGGCTGATCACCTGAGGTCAGACAACCTAATCCCTGAAGGGAACCAATTCTCCCTCTCTCAGCAGCCACTGACCATCCATAGCTTTTTTTTCTAGGAGTGGGATGGTTCCCTTTTTAAAATAGATTTGAATATATTAGAAGTCAATGTCCTATACAGTCAACACCTAGGCCATCTCCATCAGTGTCTCTCACTTTACTCTCTGCCCGTACTGCTACTGGCCTGTGGGCTATTTTTCTACATGGCCCTAGACTCCCTTTCCAAATACACTAGCACACTATCCTAGCCTTTCAAATCTTTTAGTAATTGTATAGGAAAGCCTATTATTCAATCACCAATTTCTATTTTATTTCCTTCAATTATGAATGTCAAACACAAACATAATGAGCATGCCAAATAAAATCAACTACATTATTTGATGAGAAATGCATTTCACAAACTAAACACTGTTTCCACTTCTGACCATCAGTGTGTATAACAATGGAATGAAACAAAACTGCTTTGTGGTGATAACTCGTTTGTACTCTAAATGCAGCGTGCCTGAAGATCAGAGGGTGGAGGGAGCCATTACTTAGGCATACAGATTGGAGGTCTTGTACAGACAGACAAGGGAGATGGCTGGGCACAGAGAAGAGGTGATAAGGTGGGATGGGAAGTTGAGTAGATGAGGGGGCTGGGGTGTTACTCCTTGGTCACTTTGGCCTCTCAGCATTTCCCCCTTTTCTGGTTCTGGGCTTTTATTATTAAGACCTATTAGAACTCAGATTACACTACTCCACCCCAAACACAGACTGACTCAGCAATTCTGCAGTTGGGCCTAAAAAAATCTGTGTTTTGTTTGTTTTGTTTCAAGACAGGGTTCTCTGTCTAGCCCGAGCTATCCTGCAGGGATCTGCCTGCCTCTGCCTCTGAGTGCTGGGAATAAAGGTGTGCACTCAGCTCTTCCAGAGGACCTGGGTGCAATTCCCAGCACCCCATGGCATCTCACAACTGTCTGTTGAAGGGCCCAGCCCCCTGCTTTAGCGGGCCATGACAGGCAGCACAAAAGTCTCAACATGTGCTTGCCTGGCTTTGCCCCTCCTCCCGGTCAACTGGAGGTCAGATACCCACCAATCAGAAGTTAGCTGACATGCTTTGGCATGTAACAGTGATGTGTAGAGAGAGCACAGCAAGAGTCTATAGGCCATAACAAACAGTTGACCAATCACCACAGGACAGATCATCCAAGGCCGGAAACGCACCAATCCTGATACTGTTGTGTACCCCTAGCCATTCCCCTTATGCTGTCCAGTAAGTTCCCTGCCTCGAAATTTCTCCTGGTCCTTCTCCAGCCATAGGCCGCAATGAATGGACAAAGGGCCAGAGTTAATGCAGTTAGCTCATTAAACAACAATAAAAGACTCTTTGCTTTGCATCAGAACAGGTCTCTTGGTGATACTGGGATTCAGAATCTGGGTACAACACTGTAACTCCAGTTCCAGGGATCTGACACCCTCACACGACATACATGCAGGCAAAACACCAATGCACATAAAATAAAAGTAAATTATTTTTAAAAAGAGAAAAGAAAAGGGAAGTCTGTGCTTCTAACAAAGTCTCATGTGATCCAGCTCCTATGGGGATCGACTGCCCCCTTCAAGTACAACTCCATTTTCCTCAACACAAAGTCAGCTTTTGAAAATGCAAAGTTGATCTTGTGTTTTCCTTCCTCCCTAGCAATTTTAAGACTAGATTCAGAGTCCTCAGATAAAATATATAAGGCTTCTGACCATGGTGGCCAAGCCCTTGGCTATTTCTGCAGGCTTGCCAACTCTAGAGTCACACTCACCTTGGCATGCCCTCTTCTCTTTCTCAGAAGAGAACCTGCACCGCTGACAGGAAGGCTTAGCAAGCCCCTGCAGAGCCGGAGCCTGACTCTTGCTCACCCCCAGCAAGCAAACAAGGACGAAGGAAAACCTATGAGGCCTTTAGGCCTGCTCAACACTCTGGGGAGGGGAAAGCAGGGCTGTTTCTCCTGTGCCATGTTTACCTACAGAAGTGTGAGAAGAAGGAATGCCAAGGGGGATGCACCAGAAAAAAGAAAATGAGAACATATCCATCTTAATGGAAACCGTCAACTTCTGTGGCCTAAAACGCAGAGATTACAGCTGTCATCTCTGTGCCCACCCACACCGCCACGCGCAAAGCCAGCACCCTCCAAGGCCTTACACACTACTCCTCTTTGCCTTGCTCCCTCCAGCTGGGTCCTCTTCCCACGAGGGCCGGCCTAGCATTGTCCTCCTCATTGAACAGGCAGTCCCAATACCTCACATAGCAGTCAGTCTTCCTTCTACTCCCCGGCACCGCACTCCTAGCAATCCGGCAGGCCCTTGGTATTTACCACTGTCAGTGCTGATTCTATCGACTACTGATGATCTTCACGCAGGTTGTTTCCCCCAAATATGATGATGACCTATTTTAATTAAGAACTGGGTTCTGCCAGGCATGGTGGACCCACAGGCGGATCTCTATGAGTTCAAGACCAGCCAGGTCTACATAGTGAATTCCAGGTTAATGGGGTTAAATAATAATGATACCCTGCTTTAAAAAAAAAAAAAAAAAAAACACCACTGGGTGTTTTGGTCAGCCAGGTGTGGTGGCACTTGACTATAATTCAAAACGCAGGAAACCAAGACAGGAAAAATCCAGAGTTCAAGGCTAGCCTGGGTTAAAGAGGGAAAGAAAAAGCAGAAATGAGAAGGGGAAGGAGAGGCCAGGGGCTGGGAAAGGAGAACTGTAGAAAGAAGGGGAGGTGAGGGAGGGGAGGGAGCTGAAGAGGAAAGAGAAGGAAGGGAAGGAAGGGAAGGAAGATGGAGGGTTGGGTGGGACAGAGGGAAGAGGGACACAGAGTCTCAGACAGACTCTCAAGGAGCACCCAGTGTGACTGAGGACACCAGCCATCATCTAGGGAGAAATGAGACAGAGGGAGAGGGAAGAAAAAGGCCTGGGGCTCTGGTGAGCGGACAGCGCCTTCCGCAACGTCCTCTAGTGTCTTGGTCTCCAAATCGGAAATGTCAGTGAGGTCCACAGGGCTTTTACTGCATCTCAGCACCAGGACTGCCATCCAACCATTGTTACTGCATACTGTCACTGTTCCAAACCATCACAGGGATATAAACCCAAGCAAGGACAACTCTCATCAGGAAGGGCTCACACAAACCAAGTAAAAATGGAGAAAAATAAAAACTAGAGGACACAGCCACTCCCAAAAATGCACAAAACCCAACAAATACACAGAGAGAGAGAGAGAAGGAAGGAAGGAAGGAAGGAAGGAAGGAAGGAAGGAAGGAAGGAAGGAAGACACTACAATACTTCCACACATTCATAACTCAGTACTGAAACCAAAGATAGTAAAACAGATGAAATGCCAGAAAAGGAGTTCAGGGTGGGGCTGGAGAGATGTCTCAGTAGTTGAGAGTGCATACACCCTTCGAAAGGGCCGGAGTTCTGTTGTCAGCATGGATCCAAGTGAGTCACAGCTGCCTGTACTCCTGCACCTGGACTGACTGATGCCTCTGGCCTCCACGGGCACCTGCACATGTGTGCATATATCCCCTCACAGACACACATGCATACATGCATGTAATTTAAGATAGATTTTTAAAAAAGAGCTCAGGGTTCTGTTTCAAAAGGATCAATGCCTACAAAGGACTCAAGAAGAAGAAAATGAATCCATGGTCTGGGTAGGAAAGTAAGCTAGATAAAAGGGGCCATTAACTCAAAACCAAGGAGAAAAATCAGCAAGGAAACAAGACTCTGAAAAAGAACCAACTTAGAATTGCTGGAAATAAGAATCCATCAGCCAAACAGAAAACACAGCAGGAAGTATCATCAACAAACAAAGACAGAAGAAATATCACTGGTGCAAAGGGACAAGCTTAAGAAGAAAAAAAAAATATATGAGCATGGATAAACCTCCAAGCACTCTGACAAGGTCCAATAAACCACACCCAAGAGCCAAGGGGAAGATTAAAACAAAATCTGAAGGCCTAAGGGGTCATTCCACAAAATCATTCCAAAAACTTTAGCAAATCCAGAGGAGTAAATGGGCACCCAAACAGAAACCTCCAGGGAAGCGTGCCCACACACATCTCACAGTTGGTGTGAAGAGAAGGGGTCAGTGTGCAGCTCAGAGGGAGGGTAGTTGCCTAATATGCACAACCCTGGTTCTGTCTCCAGCATCTGAAAATGAAATAAGCTTTGAGGGGAAAACACCAACACATCTATGAAGGCAAGTACACCAGGATCTCCCACTAGCAACCCAAATAACCACAAAAGCATGGGGCATGTTCATACCAAAAGT